TTTTCTGATGTGTCACTGATTATTTACATCTACTGTTTAGCCATATTCCCTTAATGTTGCATATTTCACTACACTTTTCTGATGTGTCACTGATTATTTACATCTACTGTTTAGCCATATTCCCTTAATGTTGCATATTTCACTACACTTTTCTGATGTGTCACTGATTATTTACATCTACTGTTTAGCCATATTCCCTTAATGTTGCATATTTAAAACTGCTGTTTGACTACATGATTTAAAATAGTGTGTCCCAGTGTATGAATGTTTTAGATTTTATTATCAGCATTAGATATATGAATATTTTTGTTAATACTGTTTTTCTCCTAAAGTATTTTGTTGATTTTCCTAAATCCTCAACATTTCAGCCCACTGAAGTAGCCTCCATTTCAAGCCTTGATAATGTTAGTCTTAGCTCACTGGATACTGAAGAAGATGGGCTGGAGCTGTTAACTGGTGATGGTCAGCCAACTTTTGAACTTCCTATCACAGCATTCCACCCATTGTTGGAGAATGATGATGGTCAAGAACATTTTGAGTCCATTTCTGCAGAGATTTATAATACAGGTTTGTTATCACATGGTCAAGAACATTTTGAATCCATTTCTGCAGAGATTTATAATACAGGTTTGTTATCACATGGTCAAGAACATTTTGAGTCCATTTCTGCAGAGATTTATAATACAGGTTTGTTATCACATGGTCAAGAACATTTTGAGTCCATTTCTGCAGAGATTTATAATACAGGTTTGTTATCATAAAAAAAATACTCCTGCAAAATCCGTTAGAACGATTTTTAAACAATGTGTGGTTATCTGTAGTGTATTAACTCTAGGAAACTGGCTTAACATGCAACAAAAGTTTTCCACTTAATGTGCAACAAAAGTTTTCCACTTAACATGCAACAAAAGTTTTCCACTTAAGGTGCAACAAAAGTTTTCCACTTAAGGTGCAACGAAAGTTTTCCACTTAAGGTGCAACGAAAGTTTTCCACTTAAGGTGCAACGAAAGTTTTCCACTTAACATGCAACAAAAGTTTTCCACTTAACGTGCAACAAAAGTTTTCCACTTAACATGCAACAAAAGTTTTCCACATGATATGGAGTAATTTGTCTATTTCATGCACTTTTAATTTGTTCGCTTCTCTGAGTAAAAAATAGTGGACTTCAACAAAATATCAGTAATGGATACAGTATGGATGTTAGATTTATTGAAAACATTGAATCATGAAAAGTGGTTTATCTGTGACTCATTGATTTGCTATTTCAAGACACAAGAATAGTAAGTTGTTCCTTTAATTTTATGTTAATCTCTCAAGGTATAGTTCAAGAAGGTGGAAGAAGCTATGCAGTTTATGCCATCTCCGTGATAAGACAGTTAACGAACGGTGACGAGGAAAAGTGGTGTGTCATGCGACGGTACAGTGACTTTCATAACTTCCATACCAGCCTCATAGAAAAGGTAATTTATTTTAAAGTAACTTCAGTTATTGAAATTATTAGAAGCTGGAACCACTTCCATTGAAAAATATTAGTTTTAAGGAAATGCCAAATTCCTGGAGTGATTTCTTCTTTCAATTTGGCTGCATGCACCCATTCACTTCCCAGTTTCTTGTCACTTCATGAACAAAAGGCTTAGGATGTGATGGAAGTATCCAAACACTAGAAATTATCTGATTACTTGTTTATCTCTGAATGAGGTCCAGAATTCCAACATTAGTCGTTTATCTCTGAATGAGGTTCAGAATTCCAACATTAGTCGTTTACTAGACCATCGTGACCCGTTGGGTCAACCACTATTTAGATGTTATGAAGAATTCAAGCTAATTTCAATATTGCAGCTAAATGAAGGTTTATTTTGAGATAATTTAATTAGATATTTAAATCCATTCGTGTTACTCATAATTCAAGGAAAAATATTTGATTGTTGATCGGGAGTAAAAGTAAAGACTATTCCATTTTTTAAAAAAGTGAAGTCAGAAGTTTTGTAAAGAGCGCGAACGGTAG